TTCAGGAACCTCCAATGGCTGCAACTTACCATGCGGCCTCTGATGCTCGGCCTTAACCTTACGGCAGGTTAAGCACCTCTCGACGAACCACGCAATGTCTCTCTTCATACAGGGCCACCAATACTCCTTCCTCAAATCCAAATACATCTTAGTGTCCCCGGGATGGATTGAGAATTTCGACCGATGAGCCTCTTCCATCAAAATGGTACGCCTACCTCCCACGAACGGTACCCAAATACGCCCCCTAAAAAGTCATAAGCCCCCGACCATCAGTAACGAACTCTGATACCAATCAAATAACTCGCTCTCTCTTCTGGTTTTTCGACCTCACTACCTCAGCCTGTGCTCCTCGAATGGTGTCCAACACCGGAGTCATCACGGTCAAACGCAAACACACACCTCGCAACGGGGCACTCTCCGTCCGACGACTCAGGGCATCGGCTACCAGATTAGCCTTGCCCAGATGGTACAGGATCTCACAATCATAATCCTTAACCACATCCAACCACCTCCTCTGCCACATATTTAGGTTGGGCTGATCCATCAAATACTTCAGACTCTTATGGTCCGTGTATATCGTACACCGAACCCCATACAAATAATGGTGCCAAATCTTGAGGGCGAACACCACTACCCCCAACTCTAGGTCATGGGTGGGATACCTCGACTCATGAGGCTTCAACTGCCTCGATGCATACGCTATCACATGCCCTCTCTGCATCAGTACCGCTCCCAATCCCAAAATCGATGCATCGCAGTATACAACAAAATCCTCCATTCCCTCCGGGAGGGCTAACATTGGGGCCTCGCATAACCTTTGGCGAAGCGTCTCAAAGGAAGCCTGCTGCTCGGGACCCCATGAAAAAGCAACACCCTTCCGGGTCAACTTAGTGAGTGGTACTGCGATCTTGGAGAAATCCCTGATAAATCTCCGATAATAACCGGCCAACCCTAGAAAACTCCTGATCTCGGAGGGTGACCTTGGCACTTCCCAACTCATAACTGCCTCCACTTTGGCCGGATCGACCAATATCCCATCCTGGTTAACAAGATGTCCAAGGAACTGGACCTCTCGCAACCAGAAGTCACACTTGGAGAATTTGGCATAAAGCCTCTCCGATCTCAGAACTCCAAGGATCTCCCTCAAATGTTCCTCATGTTGCTCCCTAGATCTCGAATACACCAAAATGTCATCAATAAATACGATCACCGACCGATCCAACATCGGCCTGCATACCCGGTTCATCAGATCCAAAACACTGCCGAGCATTGGTGAGCCCAAAAGGCATCACCACAAACTCATAATGCCCATAACGCATCCTAAACGCTGTCTTCTGGACGTCCTCATCTCGTACCCTCACCTGATGGTATCCAGACCTCAAATCGATCTTGGAGAACCAAGATGCTCCCTGCAACTGGTCGAACAAATCGTCGATCCTCGGCAACGGGTAACGGTTCTTGACCGTCAGCTTGTTCAACTCTCGGTAATCAATACACATCCGATGTGAACCATCCTTCTTCTTTACAAACAGAATGGGCGCTCCCCACGGCGAGCTACTCGGCCGAATAAACCCTTTCCCCAGCAGCTCCTGAAGCTGCGAGGATAGCTCTTGCATCTCTGGAGGTGCAAGACGATAAGGCACCTTAGCGATAGGCGCGGCCCCTGGGACCAAATCAATACCGAACTCTACTTGCCTCACAGGAGGCACCCCCGGCAACTCCTCCATAAAAACATATGGATACTCACGCACAATAGGAACCTCCCACCGTCCTCGGCCTCCTGGAATCAACCCGCGTATCGACACGTACGCCACAAAACCCTTACAGCCCTGCTGTAAACACTCTCACCCTAGCGGCCGAACAAAATGCTGATCCAGAACGGGTACCCTCACCGTACACTGTAAGAACTCCCCACTAGGGTCTCGTATGGTCACTAGCTGTCGCTCGCAGTCGATAACCGCACCGAACTTGCTCAACCAGTCCATGCCCACGATGACACAAACATCCCCCATGGCAATAGGAACCAAATCAATCGGGAACTCAACACCGAAAATCTCGAGTACGCACCCACGGATCACCTCCGTGGCATATATCGCCTTCTCGTCAGCTATGGAAACTCTAGAGGCCGACTCAGCGCCTCGCGACTAAACTGATGTGCTGACTAAAAGCCAAAGATACAAAGGACCGACTCGCACCCGAGTCAAATAATACCAAGGCAGGTACAGAATTCACAAGAAAAGTACCTACGCATAACATAATATAAGCATAATATTTCAACATTATAATAAATACACGAAAGAATACATACCAGCCACGACATCGGGCGCTGCGCGGACCTCCTCCGCGGTCAACTGAAATGCTCTCCCACGTGCCCTCGGCGCCTCGGCCTTCACTGGCCCACTCCCGGTAGCTCTGATGGCGGCAGGGGCAGATCCCTGAGGTGATCCCCGCAACTGCGGACACTCCACCTTCCGGTGTCCGGTCTGGTTGCAGTGAAAACATACTGCAAACCCCTTGGGCAGTCCTTGGCCATATGCCCCTCCTTGCCACATTTGTAGCAAGATCCGCTCTACACACTCCATCATGACCCTTGCCGCACTTTCCACAAGTGCGGCCCTTCTGGCTCCCTGATTTGGGATCAGCGGGCTTGGCCCGCTTGGCTGCCGGCTGGAATTGTACCGGTCGCCGATCCCTCCCCTGAGACTCAGCCTCCTCCCTAGCCTGGGTCTCCAGCTCAATCTCCCTCTTCCGGGCATTTGCCTGAAGCTCGGAAAATGTCCGGTATGAGGAGTTCGCCACGAACTCCCGAATGTCCCGTCTCAAAATACTCAAATATCGACTCATACGTGCCTGCTCAGTGGACACGTGCTCAGGGCAGAACATCGCCCTCTCGTGAAACATCCTGGTGATCATTGTAACAGACTCAGTACCCTGCTTGAGGGTCAGAAACTCCTGGGCCAACGCTCCCGCTCCACCTGGGGAACATACTCATCTCGGAACATGCAGTGAACCTCTCCCAGGTCACTCAAGCTCAGCAGGCGAAAAATGTGTTGTGACAAACTTCCACCAATCCTTCGCTCCCAAGCGAAGCTGGTTCAGCGGGAACTGTACTCTCAGATGCTCAGGAGATGAGCAAGTGAAGAAACACCCCTCTATGTCAGAAATCCATCTCATGGCCGCCACCGGGTCCTGGGTCCCATCAAACTCCGGTGGTTTCGTGTTGCTGAACTCCCGGAACAGCAACGCGTCACCACCCTGCGGCCTAGCAGCAGCAACAGTTGCAGTGGCCGCCGCAACCGCAGCCTCAGAAAGAGCAGCATAACGCTCGTC